GCAGTTGCTTTATTTTTTTTCTCTTTGGGCCTCACAACTAAAAACATGGGCTTGGGTTATAACTTAAATGTTTAATATCGGTTTTCGGTTACGTTTGGTTAACCGAACATTTATTTCCAAACCGAACTGAAAACTGAAATTGTAAAAAATTCAAACCAAAAACCGAACCAAAAATTCGGTTTCGATTTCGGTCGGTTATCCAAATTTTGTGCACCCCTCGTAGTTATGTTTTGTGGTAAAAGATTCAATTTTGTTAGCTAATGTGAATTATACTTATTATTCATATAAATATATATTTTTAAATATATGATAAAATTATACCAAAATACTTAATTTATGGAATCTCATTGTAGTCAAATCGAATGTCTGAATAAAATTTTAAAATGACACTTATTTTGAAATAAATATAATGTATTTTATTATCAATTACATGCACAGTAGGGGTTGTGTTCTAATTTTTTTTTCTTCCTAAGGAGGATCAATAGTATTCTCAGTTCCCCTACTCAGTTACTCGAACTCATGACCTATTGATCATAGGTGAAACGTCTTACCACTCAAACTGTGTTTTGTCGTCGGGTCGTGTACTAATTTTAAATAAACATATTTTATGTGATTTTTGCACAAAATTTCAAATAACGTTGAAATTTTTATTTTATAAATATTAATATATATCTCTTTAACTTTGCATTGCACATGGTTCGAACTAGTTAGAGTTGACTTAATTAGAGTGGTATTTTTGCATCCAAAGTTCCAAACACACCCTTCGTCTCCAGCGGTAAACAGATTCGAGGAAATAACTCCGCAGTTAGCAGGTAGCCATGGAGGCTGACGGAACAACTTCCTGTGGAAGAAAAAGAACCAGGAAAGAGGTAAATCAGTTTTCTCCATATCCTCGGAGTTTTTTCATCACTGATTATCAATTGTTGAACTGTGGAAAACAACAAGGGGCGTCGTTTTCTTTCACCCAATTTAATAACAATTCTCAGGATTTATTATTTTTGAAGGCAGATTCTTGAAAAGAAAAAAGCAAATGAGAATGCGATTAGAGTCGCTTCATCCATAAAAGATCACACCTCTAAGTTCCCAAATTTTCGCCACTACCAAAGAAATGGTTAGTCCTGTGAGCATTTTTTTTTTTT